TGGACCTGAGAGCCAATGTGAGTGTGCATTTGTTTCTACTGTGGTTTACTCTCAGGTTCAGGTGGGAGTACCCTTTGCGTGGGGACTGTCATAAAAGGCCAGTTGTGGCTACCATTAAAGTGAGATTCATTTTACCCTTCATGAAGTCTAGGCTCATGTTTGGCGGATTGGAGAGCTATATTCACATTCTGGGGATTGCTATAATCACAACACTTGCTCTTTTAAGAGCAGCCTGCTTCGCTCTCTGGAGTAGGAGAGGTCTCTCCACTGGAAGCTGGATCCTGGTCTTGGGTCCAGGGTGGGTGGAGGACAGCAAGACCGCAACCAAGCTGCGGCGGTTTGTGGGGTTTACAGTGGTTATGGTGTTCCAGTGCAGTGCTTATGGTGCTCGCGAATACTAGGAAGCAGAAACTGACGTAGGTAATCGGTCAGGGTGCCAGGCGGTCCGTCACAGTATGTGTAACGGAGCTCCTTGTACTCCGACTGAGTACCCTCCGTTGACGGATGCTCCTAGCGCTTCCTGAGGACTCCAAGCGCTGCAGCAGACACCAACAACCACCGCAGACTCCGCAACCGCCGTATCTTGACTGGAGTCTCGCCGCCTTCCTTCCACCCTGGATCAGCTTCTGTCCTCCAGGACTGTGTGGGAAAGAACTCTTCCTTCCACCCTGTATGAACCTCCAGCATCCAGGACTGTGTGGTGAAGAACCCTCCTCCAAGGAGAGCGTGTCAAGAACAAGCTCTTAAAAGAGCTAAGTGACTCAAGCTCAGGGGAGCATGCAGAGCATAGCAATCCCCAGTGTGATTATAACAGCTCCCTCCAATAACGAGACAAGGCTACGTTTAGAGGGATCAAGAAGAACTGTCAAAACCTTTATTCCCTTGGGACCAGCCAATACAGTCACCACAATAACATTGTTGTGAAACCTCAATAAAATCACAAACAGTCAAACCATATCAAGAAACACACAGTGACTTATCACAACACAATGGCACATTTTTAAAGGGGTGGGGGGAGACAATATTTAACAGTAAATATCTCACCTGCCTGCAGAATTAGCAATATGCAAATCTACCCGAATATGCAAATGAACCAGTCTTGCAATTCAGGTAGTGCATATTGCTGTTGCTACCAACAGAGGGCACTAGACCAGCTCCATAGCCAAACCCACCTAGTTGGTAGCAAACCTCAGCAATACAAGAGAGCAGGCAATACATTACACAGTACACACACACACACTATAAACAATTACATTACACACACCCTGCACCTATAATGGGTACAGGGTGACTAAAACATAGGATAAATAAAGCAGCCCACATAAATAGTCTGTCTGAAGGTAGACTAGGGGCTTTAAAGCCAGATAGATGAAAGAGTCATAGTCACAGGGAAGGAGGCTGGCAAGTAGGCCTCTCCAGGACCAAGTGGCGAAGGGCACTTCGTCACATATCTCCCCTTCGGGGGGAAGACTAACCAGGCACCTGACTTTCTGTCGGTCAGTGCCTAAGTTAGTCGAGTCACCCACCGACCATAAGCAAGTGCCAGAGTAGCCCACCCACAACAAACAGTTATTAGAGCAGCCCACCCACAGCAAACAGTGACTGCACCTGGGTATTCCTCTGGGGTGATGGGGCAACACGCTGTGGGGACTTGAGGGGCAGAGGCCAGCGGCGCTCTGCCCTGATGTCAGCGCTTCTGCTGGGAGGAGGGGGGTGCAGGCCAGTCCTGTGACAAGGGGATCGGTAGGGCAGAGGCCAGCGGCGGTCTGCCCTGATGCCAGCTCTTCTGCTGTTATAGCCTGCAGGACATCAGGCTCTGGACAAGGGACAAAGGGAGGGCAGAGGCCGACTGCACTCTGCCCAGCTGCCAGCTCTTCCGCTGGGGGGCTTGGGACATAGTCCGGCTCAGTAGCCAGGGGAAAGTGGGGGTCAGTGGGGGTTAACATCTCCCCTGTTAACCCAGGGGCCAAGTTAGGAGTTAGCTGGGGAGGGGAATTCGTACTTACCCCCTCCTCCTGTTGTCCCTGTGAGGGTAGTTGGGGATCTGGACAGGCTGTCCAGCATCCCTGTAGGTTGGGCACAGAGACCACAGTCCCCTCTGCGCCATCTGGGAGATTGGTGTCTCCCCTTGGTAGGGTAAGCTGCCGCTGGGGAGATAGGGTGCTGTGCTCCTCTCCCTGAAACACAGGCTGCCGCTGGAGAGGGAGACCGCCTGTCTCCACTCCCATAACATTGTCCTGCTGCTGGAGAGAGAGACCAACTGTCTCTGCTCCCTGTAGGACACACTGCTGCTAGGGAGGAAGGACGACACCTTCGGCTCCCTGTAACTTGCACTGCCGCTGGGGAGGAAGGACGACACCTTCGGCTCCCTGTAATTTGCACTGCCGCTGGGGAGAGAGACCAACTGTCTCTGCTCCCTGTAGGACACACTGCCGCTGGGGGGGGAAGGACGACACCTTCGGCCCCCTGGAATTCGCACTGCCGCTGGGGAGTTAGGACGACACCTTCAGCTCCCTGTAACTTGCACTGCCGCTGGGGAGGAAGGACGACACCTTCGGCTCCCTGTAACTTGCACTGCCGCTGGGGAGGAAGGACGACACCTTCGGCTCCCTGTAACTTGCACTGCCGCTGGAGACTAGGTGTCCATATCCTCAACCTCCACAGTTGTCGCTCAAAGGCCATTGCCGCACTGTTCTCAGCACTCAACTGGCGCATTACTTGGTGGACCACCTCGTTCGCAAGGTCTGGGCCATAGCAGACCAACCGCCTCTTTACCTCGTCAATGTAAGCGTAGTCCTCGTAGCGACGTATCATGTTGAGGTGCTCTTCGCAGGCTCTATCCATCCCTGCTCCATGATGCTGTAGTTAGGGACGCTGCACAGTGGCTAGCGTTGCCCTCAATAACCTCTCATACGATACCAGTGTCTCCGAGCTGCTTCTCCTCGCACTAGGACGCCATCCCACCGCTGCCACCAATGTAACGGAGCTCCTTGTACTCCGACTGAGTACCCTCCGTTGACGGACTCCAAGCGCTGCAGCAGACACCACAACCACCGCAGACTCCGCAACCGCCGTATCTTGACTGGAGTCTCGCCGCCTTCCTTCCACCCTGGATCAGCTTCTGTCCTCCAGGACTGTGTGGGAAAGAACTCTTCCTTCCACCCTGTATGAACCTCCAGCATCCAGGACTGTGTGGTGAAGACCCCTCCTCCAAGGAGAGCGTGTCAAGAACAAGCTCTTAAAAGAGCTAAGTGACTCAAGCTCAGGGGAGCATGCAGAGCATAGCAATCCCCAGTGTGATTATAACAGCTCCCTCCAATAACGAGACAAGGCTACGTTTAGAGGGATCAAGAAGAACTGTCAAAACCTTTATTCCCTTGGGACCAGCCAATACAGTCACCACAATAACATTGTTGTGAAACCTCAATAAAATCACAAACAGTCAAACCATATCAAGAAACACACAGTGACTTATCACAACACAATGGCACATTTTTAAAGGGGTGGGGGGAGACAATATTTAACAGTAAATATCTCACCTGCCTGCAGAATTAGCAATATGCAAATCTACCCGAATATGCAAATGAACCAGTCTTGCAATTCAGGTAGTGCATATTGCTGTTGCTACCAACAGAGGGCACTAGACCAGCTCCATAGCCAAACCCACCTAGTTGGTAGCAAACCTCAGCAATACAAGGAGAGAGGCAATACATTACACAGTACACACATACACACTATAAACAATTACATTACACACACCCTGCACCTATAATGGGTACAGGGTGACTAAAACATAGGATAAATAAAGCAGCCCACATAGATAGTCTGTCTGAAGGTAGACTGGGGCTTTAAAGCCAGATAGATGAAAGAGTCATAGTCACATGGAAGGAGGCTGGCAAGCAGGCCTCTCCAGGACCAAGTGGCGAAGGGCACTTCGTCACAGTATGTATCACAGTAAGGATTAGTTATGATAGTATGTATCACAGTAAGGGCTAGTTATGATAGTCTGTCACAGTAAGGGCTAGTTATGATAGTATCTCACAATAAGGGCTAGTTATGATAGTATGTATCACAGTAAGGGCTAGTTATGATAGTATGTCACAGTAAGGGCTAGTTATGATAGTATGTATCACAGTAAGGGCTAGTTATGATAGTTTGTCACAGTAAGGGCTAGTTATGATAGTTTGTCACAGTAAGGGCTAGTTATGATATTATCTCACAGTAAGGGCTAGTTATGATAGTATGTATCACAGTAAGGGCTAGTTATGATAGTATGTGTCACAGGAAGGGCTAGTTATGATAGTATCTCAAAGTAAGGGCTAGTTATGATAGTATCTCAAAGTAAGGGCTAGTTATGATAGTATGTGTCACAGTAAGGGCTAGTTATGATAGTATCTCACAGTAAGGGCTAGTTATGATAGTATCTCACAGTAAGGGCTAGTTATGATAGTATGTGTCACAGTAAGGGCTAGTTATGATAGTATGTATCACAGTAAGGGCTAGTTATGATAGTATCTCACAGTAAAAGCTAGTTATGATAGTATGTATCACAGTAAGGGCTAGTTATGATAGTCTGTGTCACAGTAAGGGCTAGTTATGATAGTATCTCACAGTAAGGGCTAGTTATGATAGTCTGTGTCACAGTAAGGGCTAGTTATGATAGTCTGTGTCACAGTAAGGGCTAGTTATGATAGTCTGTGTCACAGTAAGGGCTAGTTAAGATAGTATCTCACAGTAAAGGCTAGTTATGATAGTATGTATCACAGTAAGGGCTAGTTATGATAGAATGTCACAGTGAGGGCTAGTTATGATAGTATCTCACAGTAAGGGCTAGTTATGATAGTCTGTGTCACAGTAAGGGCTAGTTATGATAGTCTGTGTCACAGTAAGGGCTAGTTATGATAGTATGTGTCACAGTAAGGGCTAGTTATGATAGTATGTATCACAGTAAGGGCTAGTTATGATAGTATGTGTCACAGTAAGGGCTATTTATGATAGTATGTATCACAGTAAGGGCTAGTTATGATAGTATGTCACAGTAAGGGCTAGTTATGATAGTATCTCACAGTAAGGGCTAGTTATGATAGTATGTCACAGTAAGGGCTAGTTATGATAGTATGTCACAGTAAGGGCTAGTTATGATAGTCTGTGTCACAGTAAGGGCTAGTTATGATAGTATGTATCACAGTAAGGGCTAGTTATGGTAGTCTGTGTCACAGTAAGGGCTAGTTATGATAGTATGTATCACAGTAAGGGCTAGTTATGATAGTCTGTGTCACAGTAAGGGCTAGTTATGATAGTCTGTCACAGTAAGGGCTAGTTATGATAGTATGTGTCACAGTAAGGGCTAGTTATGATAGTATGTATCACAGTAAGGGCTAGTTATGATAGTATCTCACAGTAAGGGCTAGTTATGATAGTATGTGTCACAGGAAGGGCTAGTTATGATAGTATCTCACAGTAAGGGCTAGTTATGATAGTATCTCACAGTAAGGGCTAGTTATGATAGTATGTGTCACAGTAAGGGCTAGTTATGATAGTCTGTATCACAGTAAGGGCTAGTTATGATAGTATGTGTCACAGGAAGGGCTAGTTATGATAGTATCTCAAAGTAAGGGCTAGTTATGATAGTATGTGTCACAGTAAGGGCTAGTTATGATAGTATGTGTCACAGGAAGGGCTAGTTATGATAGTATGTGTCACAGGAAGGGCTAGTTATGATAGTATGTATCACAGTAAGGGCTAGTTATGATAGTATCTCACAGTAAGGGCTAGTTATGATAGTATGTATCACAGTAAGGGCTAGTTATGATAGTATGTGTCACAGTAAGGGCTAGTTATGATAGTATGTATCACAGTAAGGGCTAGTTATGATAGTATGTGTCACAGCAAGGGCTAGTTATGATAGTATGTCACAGTAAGGGCTAGTTATGATAGTATGTCACAGTAAGGGCTAGTTATGATAGACTGTTTCACAGTAAGGGCTAGTTATGATAGTATGTATCACAGTAAGGGCTAGTTATGATAGTATGTATCACAGTAAGGGCTAGTTATGATAGTCTGTGTCACAGTAAGGGCTAGTTATGATAGTATGTCACAGTAAGGGCTAGTTATGATAGTATGTGTCACAGTAAGGGCTGGTTATGATAGTATCTCACAGTAAGGGCTAGTTATGATAGTATGTGTCACAGTAAGGGCTAGTTATGATAGTATGTGTCACAGTAAGGGCTAGTTATGATAGTATCTCACAGTAAGGGCTAGTTATGATAGTATGTATCACAGGAAGGGCTAGTTATGATAGTATGTGTCACAGTAAGGGCTAGTTATGATAGTATCTCACAGTAAGGGCTAGTTATGATAGTATGTGTCACAATAAGGGCTAGTTATGATAGTATGTGTCACAGTAAGGGCTAGTTATGATAGTCTGTGTCACAGTAAGAGCTAGTTATGATAGTCTGTATCACAGTAAGGGCTAGTTATGATAGTCTGTATCACAGTAAGGGCTAGTTATGATAGTATGTGTCACAGTAAGGGCTAGTTATGATAGTATGTGTCACAGTAAGGGCTAGTTATGATAGTATCTCACAGTAAGGGCTAGTTATGATAGTCTGTGTCACAGTAAGGGCTAGTTATGATAGTATGTGTCACAGTAAGGGCTAGTTATGATAGTATGTGTCACAGTAAGGGCTAGTTATGATAGTATGTCACAGTAAGGGCTAGTTATGATAGTATGTCACAGTAAGGGCTAGTTATGATAGTATGTATCACAGTAAGGGCTAGTTATGATAGTCTGTGTCACAGTAAGGGCTAGTTATGATAGTATGTGTCACAGTAAGGGCTAGTTATGATAGTATCTCACAGTAAGGGCTAGTTATGATAGTATGTGTCACAGTAAGGGCTAGTTATGATAGTATGTGTCACAGGAAGGGCTAGTTATGATAGTATGTGTCACAGTAAGGGCTAGTTATGATAGTATGTGTCACAATAAGGGCTAGTTATGATAGTATGTGTCACAGTAAGGGCTAGTTATGATAGTCTGTGTCACAGTAAGGGCTAGTTATGATAGTATCTCACAGTAAGGGCTAGTTATGATAGTATGTCACAGTAAGGGCTAGTTATGATAGTCTGTGTCACAGGAAGGGCTAGTTATTTAGTATGTGTCACAGTAAGGGCTGGTTATGATAGTATGTATCACAGTAAGGGCTAGTTATGATAGTCTGTGTCACAGTAAGGGCTAGTTATGATAGTATGTATCACAGTAAGGGCTAGTTATGATAGTATCTCACAGGAAGGGCTAGTTATGATAGTCTGTGTCACAGTAAGGGCTAGTTATGATACTATGTGTCACAGTAAGGGCTAGTTATGATAGTATGTATCACAGTAAGGGCTAGTTATGATAGTATGTGTCACAGTAAGGGGTGGTTATGATAGTATGTATCACAGTAAGGGCTAGTTATGATAGTATGTGTCACAGTAAGGGCTAGTTATGATAGTCTGTGTCACAGTAAGGGCTAGTTATGAT